GTTTCTTGACATTTTCATTTAAAAATATTACTTTTTAAACTTATTTTTTTTTAGTAATTTAACTGTTAATTTAGCTGTTTAAGAACAGCGATGTACAGTGTATCCTTCTTTATTATCGCTGAAAATTTTAGCCCCAAATCTTTTTTTATTTCAGAAAAAGTTTAAATTTTGCAAAATATATTTTTCCATACTAGGTCACGTGGGAGTTTCCCACATGGCTTTATTATTAAACGAATCTTTTTATTTTAATGCAATTGTTAATTTTATTTATACAAAATATAAAACATGGGTTTAAAGAATTTTTGATATTACAATAACCAGAATACAGAAACCAGAAATCAAAATAAAAATAATAAAATCCTGAAAGAGTATACAAACTTATAATTAATTATTTTTTTCCGTTTCAGGTAAGGACTTCAATTATTATTACTTCACGAGAAGCGTAAGTAAACAAAATGTATTTTCACATTTGAAGTTGTGGAATGAAAACACTTTAGAATGTTAAACTTTATTTGCAATTTTAGCTCAATTTTTATCTCGTTAGTGTTCGAAATTTTTTAAATCGCAATCGCTTCATACTTTAGAAAAAGTATTTTGTTTATTAATTAATTTAGACGTTATTTCGGGAGTGTTCGAAATTTTTTTTTAATCGCTTGTGTTTCCAGCAGATGATGTCCAAAATATATATTACATCTATTACAAGCCAAGGTTAGAAATATGTTTTTATATAGGTATATTTATAATAAATTGCATGCAATTGTTTTTATATTAAAAGGTTTTAAAATATTTAATTAATTAATTAACAAAATTGAGTTCAGGTTTTTTCTGTGTATTTGGCATAATTCTTAATGTGAACTTATCTCAATTTCATATAATTCTTATTTGACCTACTCGTAAATTGAGCTAATTTTCATTTGGCCTAATTTTTAATTAATCTAATTTTTATGTAACTTAACATTTATTTTGACCAAGAGCCGGTTTTCACCGTATGAGAATTAGTTTAAATAAAGATTAGATCAAATTAAAATTAGTCCAAATGAAATTTAGGCCACACAAAGCTTATGACAAATAACAATTATGTTAAATGAACGTTAGGCCATATAAAAATTAGGACAAATATATACTTTAGGCCAAAAAAGAGAATTAGGTTTCATGAAGATTAGACCAAATGAAAATTAGTCTTAACATATTAGGTTAATTAAATATTGGACCAAATGAAAATTGCCCTAATTAACAACGAGAAAAATGTTTAGTCAAAGCAACCAAAATTTGGTTGGGTAAAAAAAAACTTTTGTTGGTATTTAAACTTTCCTTAACATTTATTTAATCGGGACATTTAAATCTTTACACAAATTTCACTAAACATTGCAATTAAATATTCCGAATATTTCAAATAAATCTTTAGGAAATCTTTTGAAAAGTTTCGGTGCTGTGGGGGAAACTATTTGTTTGGGACAACAAACGATCATTTGGTTTTTTTTATACTTAACTGCTTTGTTGTGTTAACCAAATTATTTTACAGTCTTAACCAAATTTTGCTTGGAATTTAAAAATGTTCAACCAAATAGTTTTGTTGGCCTAACCAAATGTTTAGTTGAGATAACTCTACGACTTTGTTTCACCAAAATTGCCTAACCAAACAATTATGTTGCAAATACAAAATCTTTTTTTTCAATGAACGATTAGGCCAAACAAGAATTATATCAAATGAAAATAAGACCATATAAATATTAGTTCAACTAAGAATTTGGGTATATTACCTACCCAATTTTAAACCAATTCAGCATAAGGCAATTTAAAATTTAAAAAAAATACATTCTGCCTCCAAAATTTATAAATATTGGATTGTTTGTTTCTTGAAAAATACTCCTTGTTTTTTAAGATGTTCAGATTTTTTTTTTCAACGCGAAACAATATATGGAATGAAACTTTTGAAATAGAGAATATGTACTGCAAAAAGTGCAATGTGATTATATATATATATATATATATATATATATATATATATAAAGAAAACGAAAACAATGTGGTGGTAACTACGTCATTGTTAGAAAATTTTAAGTGCGAAAAGATAGGGGTATTTTATACCCAAATAATTTTCTCTCTCTCCTCTCTCTGGATATGACACGAAAAGTTGTTCTCTGTACTGAATGCACCTTTGTAAATGATGTAAATTTCATTGTCCTTGGAAATTATTTTTTTCTTTTTTTTTCAAGGTTTATGCAAAGACTATCATGGTATAACTTTTTCGTGAGGCTAAAGCTCATATTATATGGGTGATTCTCCGCGTAGCGCACAATTTGGTGTCTGAAACTTTAAAAATATTTTTTTTATCGAAATGATAAATATCAATACATATTTTTGAAGATAAAGTGTCAAGAAATAAATATCCATGGTGGGCCGGAAAAATTTTTTATAATTTTTTTAAAGAAATTAAAAACAAAATTCTTTGCTTTTTGAATTCTATAAAATAGTTGAAATTTGATTTAAAATGTTTATGGAAATTTTTGGGGTAATTCACAAATATATATATATATATATATATATATAGCGCGAACGACAATTAAAAATTTTTATTTCGGTAATTTATGGAAATTTATGCGGTAATTTATAGAAATTTTGTCTAAAATTCATAAAAATATGTAAAGAATAAATCACAATTAAAAATTTTAATTTTGGTAATTTACGGAAATTTCCACGGTAATTTATGGAAATTCTCGCGGTAATTTACAAAAATATATATAGCGGGAACGAAAATTAAAAATTTTATTTCGGTAATTTATGGTAATTTATGGAAATTTATACGGTCATTTATAGAAATTTTGGCTATAATTCATAAAAATATGTAAAGCATAAATCGCAATTAAAAATTTTAATTTCGGTAATTTATGAAAATTTTCGCTGTAATTTACAAAAATATATATAGCGCGAACGACAATTAAAATTTTTATTTTGGTAATTTATGGAAATTTATGGAAATTTATACGGTAATTTATAGAAATTTATTTGGTAAGTTATAGTAAACTTACCAGAGCTATGATAGTTTATAATAAATATTTTTAATTTCGTTTGTTTCATTGTGTATTAAACTTGGACTAGTGACGGACTGACGGTCGAAATTTTGTGGCGGGTGGAGACGCTGGGGTCGATCGAACCGGTGGAACTGATAATAATAATTTTTTTTTTTTTTTTTTTTTGAGAAAATTATCATTTATTTTTGATCAGTTTCATACGTTTCTTATAGACTAAAATAATATAACTACACTTTATTTAACCTTTATTATTTAATTATATTCTATTTTTTTAAAAAATATTGAAGGGTCGGTGGATGCCGGTGGAGACGATTTTGTGATGCCCTGTACAAATTTGAATCTTAAAATGTGTAAAAAAAGGATAAATCAATTAGACAATTGATTACTTTCATCATAGATCAACTTAAGGCCAGGTTCAAGTGAGGCAGCTCCATCTACATTGATACTAAAATTTTGGAAAATTTTCAACAGCCTTTTCTTGAAAACAAGATGGTAAAATGCTTTTTCCTTTATGGATAATTGATTATTGGCAAGATATACACCAGCTAAAACTTTTTTTGAGTTAAAATAATAAAAAAAATTTTATGTCAATAAATTAAATATGAGCACTTTTTTCACAAAAACTGTAACAGTACTTTCTCAGAAATTACAATCAAAAATGCAATTTCCATTTGGAAAATTAATAAACGCTAAAAAATACACCACCTAAGATTTACAAATCACGACAAAAAACAAAAAAAAATTTTATTAAATATTTAACATATTGATACTGCTTTACTGATTGTGACAGCCCTTTGGTAGATTATGTATTTCAGGTGGTTAGCAACAGCGCCAATCTCCTCCTTTCGGCAAAACTGCGAAACGTCTGGTGACATATATAACCTGCCAAACGGCTGTCCTAATGAGTAAAATATGTTATGTTAAAATACTTTTTTTTTTGTTATTTTCGTGATTGGTAAATCTTAGGTCGTGTACTTTTTTAGTGTTTATTAATTTTCCAAATGGAAATTGCATTTTTGATTGTAATTTCTGAGAAAGTACTGTTACAGTTTTTGTGAAAAAAGTGCTCATATTTAATTTATTGACATGAAATTTTTTTTAATATTTTAACTCAAAAAAAGTTTTAGCTGGTGTATATCTTGCCAATAATCAATTATCCATAAAGGAAAAAGCATTTTACCATCTTGTTTTCAAGAAAAGGCTGTTGAAAATTTTCCAAAATTTTAGTATCAATGTAGATGGAGCTGCCTCACTTGGACCTGGCCTTAAGGAATATAACTTTTGCTGTTACTGAAGTAGAACTATATTAACATTTGACTTTTATTTAAATAATTCAATGTTTAATAATAAAACGCAGAATAACACACAAAAGTGCAGTCAAGTATAAATAGCAAAAAAAAAAAGAAAATAATTATTTTTTTGATCAAACGTTTTTTTTATTCAATTCCACTAAAATATACAATACTAAAATTTGAACAGTAATTGTATTTATTAGTGCACATTGCTAAAAATATTAACTTTTTTGTTTAAAAATCCTGTGGGGACAGGTGAAATTTTGACGTTTTCAGCCTTAAAAACCACTTTTCACGAAAAATTATAATGTTAAATACAAAAGTAACTATTGGTTTTTGTTTGTAATCACAGAAATGACCTTTTTACATTGGAATCGAAATATTATGTGAACATTATTTGTGATTTTTCTTTCACAACATGAAAAAAGCAAGTTGTGCGCTACGCGGAGAATCACCCATATATATATGTAATCGTGCATATTTTATTATGCTTGACGTGTGTCTAATAGTCGTGAGATGCAACTAATATATATATATATATATATAAACTGGACCCTGCTAATATATCAGTTATATATGTACCAAAACACAGCGCGATACTATTCTGCCACATATACTACATTACATAAGGGTGTTTGGGGTTGCTGTTTCTGGGAATTTCAGTATGCGCGCAACCATCGCGCCGGTAACATCGCGTCTTTTTGTCACGTTCAAAATTTGCATCCAGTTACCAAGGGAAAAAAAAATCCCTTCTCATTTTCAACCATTATAATTTTTTTTTTTTTACATAAAATGCAAATTTAATTATTAACAATTTTCATAGATAAATTAAATATTAATTAAAACAATTACAATTTTTTTTTTGCTACATTTTACTTCAAAAATAAATTACATTTTTAATAAAATGAATTAAATAATTTGTCAAAAAATATATCAAATTTTGACAATGTAAATAAAATTTATAGTGAACAAAAAGGACATTTGGTTTAAATAAATTAAAAAAAAATAATTTAAATCAATGTAAATGTAAAAGTAATCTATAATATCATGAATTTATTTTGGGAATAAATATATTGGTTAAAATTTTGTTAATTACAATTAATGAGATTGATTAGTGTGATTCAAAGTGAGATATATATATATATACATAGAGAGACTTGTTTGCGCGTCGACGAGAAACTGGAACTAAAGTTTCAAAAAGTTTAGAAACAACTTTTCGTTTTCTGATTGTCAACGTTAAAAGGGTGTTGCATAAGTAATAAGAGTAGGGAAGAATAATTTATTGGGAGATGTAGGAGAGACAATTTTCCAAGAAGACAAATAAAGTTTTATAATCCATTTGAAGTCATCCAATGGAACGCTGGAGTTAATAGAGTTTCAATATACATATATATATATATATATATATATATATAAATGACTAAATAATAAAGCACGGAGATAATTAACCCAACGATCAGGTAAATTAATTTGCGAAAAAATTTTTCTCTTTTATCCTATTACTGTAATTTTTCTTACTCATTAACTTGATTTACATTTAAAATTACTTTGCCAATGTTCATTGCTTTTTTTTTCATTTTTTAATTTATTATATTTAGGAATAATTTTTTTTTACATTTTGTAATATTGTTGTCAATATTTTTATTTGTATATTTTTTTTGAAACAATCAAAAAAACATTTTTATCTAATAATGACATATTTGGGTAATTAAACTGGTTTTATTTTTGTTTCAAAAGAATTATTTGTTGTCTTAATCAGGTTTTTGTCAATTTTTTAGGCATAAATTAAAAAAAAATATTAACATTTTTTGAATCACAGTTAAGGTAATATTTTAATTTTGTTGATATAATAGAAATATTTTGTTGGACTAAATAAACAGAAATTGGGTATTTCGATCAATTTTTTTTTTTTTTTTTGGTAAATATTTTTACCCCTTTCAATATTTTTTTTATTTTATTTTTTTATTTTCATTTTCAAAAAATTTTTTTACATGGCCTTAAACGATAATTAGTTGTTAGAATTAATAAAGAACAACGTGTTTCAATTTATTTGAATTCTCATCTTCTTACATTTTAAAGAGATATATTGGTTTAAAATAATATAAATTTAACTATAATTTGAAAATAAATACATTATCAAATCCTTGCTATTAAAAAAAAAAATTAAATAGTTCAAACAAAAATTAATATAAAATTTATAATAATTTTTATTTTATTCTCCAATAATAAATAATTTTTCCCTCCAAAAAGTTTGCAAAACTGATATTTTAAATGGTGGAGCAAGCATTGAATAAAATAACGCGAAAAAAAACGATAAGCTTGAAATTTAATTTCAAAGAATAAAAATTTAATTACAGAAATTGAAAATTTACTTTGAAATTAATAATTATTATTAATCGCTTGATAATTGAATGGAATCATGAAATTTTCCCGGTATATGCAACTCTATTAGTAGGAAGTTGATAATTATAATCGAAGAAGAAAATTAAATCAGTATAACAAACATTAAAAAAAAGAAAAAAACGAAATTATTTAGAGGACCACTGAAATTTTAACCTAATTTTCGTTGTTATTAGAGAACAATTTTTTTTTTTCCCGACATTATTTAGAATTTAAAAATATTTATGTGCCTGAATTTTTGAACGAAATCATTTTTTGGTGGTCGATGAATTTTTTTTTTTAAATTATTAAAGCAGTGAAAAATAAAAAAAAGTACATTAAAAATTTATTAAATTATATATTAATTTATTTTTGGTTATACAGAAGGAAATATTTTATAACAAAATTTGAAGTTTTAAAATTAGTAAAATTTTTCGTTCATTTGGACGTTTAGAACTAAAGGCATATAAATGTTTTACATTATCAAATTAAAAAAAAATAATATATTTTTCACCAATTTTGAAATTTTATTTTTTAAATAAATGAAACATTTTTAAAATCCATAAAAAAAACTTAAAAAGTTAAGGACAATGTAAAAATAAGTCTAAATTTTAAAAGAATTACCAATAAAATTGCAATTTATCAAAATTTATATTATTTAGAGTTGTCAATATTTTTTCGACCTTTTTTCGAATCTAGAATCATACTCCCTTATGGAAAATTGAAGAAAAATAAGTTTTGACTGTTTTACAATTTTTATTGGAAATTTTATTTCTTTTTTTAAATTAAATTTTTTAAACCTATACTATTAATTGTTTAGAATGATGAAAACAGTGTAAAATAAAAATTGGTGATAAAAAAAAACTAAAAATTGTGGAAGAATTTCAATTTTTCCTGAATTTTATGTTTCATTAGAAAATTTGTTAATTAATAAATTTTGTTTCTAAATTTTTCATATCGCATGATCCATTAATTAAAATAATTATTATTTTAATTATTATAATTATAATAATTGTTAATATATAACAAATAACAATAATAATTATTATATTTTAATTATTATTATTGTAATTAGTTAATTAATTAAATTTATATAACATTTTAATTGTAATTTATAGTTTATAATTTCTGATATACATACTTAAAGCAAGAGGATTTCTGAATTATTGAGAAATAATTTGTTTTTAATTAGACATGGAGAATTTGAGGTGAAGAGGAAATACGTACATAAACTTAGCGAAACAACTTCAAAAACCAAAAGTCTTATATAGACCAAAATTTGCCGCTTTTTAGTCGCTAATTAGTTGTGAAAAAAAAAATTTTGTCGCTCTTCAAATTTTTTTTAAAATAGGGTGCTTTGCTAAGTTTACATAAAGTTAGCGAAGCACCCATTCTAACTCCGTTGTTTACAAAGATTCACAAAATTCTTCTTGACAGAAATTTGCCGTTTTTTTGCCGTAACAAGACCAAATAATTCATTTTCCAAATACCCAAAAAATTAATTAAAAAAATTTTTAAAAAAATTTATTAAAAAATTTTTTTTAAATTTAAAAATAAAATTAAGAAAAAAATTTTTATACGAACTGTAAATGAATGTAAATTAAACAACTGCAGATGAATCACATAAGTACAGTAAAAAAAATGTAATTCATATAGAAAAAAGAAAAACTTATTTGTTAAATTTTACATTAAACTAAATTAAATTATTTCATAAGAATTTAAAATCTATGCAAGAGAAAATACGTAATCATAAATTATAAAAAAAAATTAATCAACTACTCATACGAAGAACTACTCAAGCAAAAAAAAATGTTCTTAAAAAAAATTAATTTCATTACCTCATTTCACTTACATATAACTAACTACAAAAATTTCATTAAAAATGTTAATTGTTATTAAAAATCAATTTTTTACTTCATTTTTGACGTTAACTTTTTTAAAACAGTATTTATCAATTTTAATTTGTCACGACAAAATCGAAACCAAATAAAATGATCTTAATAGTCAAAGCGACAAATTCCCCAAGTAAAATTTGAATTAAAAAAGTTAATTGATATTAAAAATCACATTTTCAATTTCGTTTTCGACTTAAAATTTGTTTAATCAATATTTATCAATTTTAATTTGTCACGACAAAATCGAAACCTACTTGAATACACTTAATAGTCAAAGCAACAAATTCCCCAATTAATATTTTCATTAAAAAATATTAATTGTTATTAAAAATCACATTTTCAATTTCGTTTTCGACTTAAAATTTGTTTAATCAATATTTATCAATTCTAATTTATCACGACAAAATCGAAACCGACTTGAATACACTTAATAGTCAAAGCGACAAATTCCCCAATTAAAATTTTCATTAAAAAATATTAATTGTTATTAAAAATCACATTTTCAATTTCGTGTTCGACTCAAAATATGTTTAATCAATATTGATCAGGTTTAATTTGTCACGACAAAATCGAAACCTACTTGAATACACCTTATAGTCAAAGCGACAAATTCCCCAATTAAAATTTTCATTAAAAAATATTAATTGTTATTAAAAATCACATTTTCAATTTTGTTTTCGACTCAAAATATGTTTAATCAATATTGATCAGGTTTAATTTGTCACGACAAAATCGAAACCTACTTGAATACACTTAATAGTCAAAGCGACAAATTCCCCAATTAAAATTTTCATTAAAAAATATTAATTGTTATTAAAAATCACATTTTCAATTTCGTGTTCGACTCAAAATATGTTTAATCAATATTGATCAGGTTTAATTTGTCACGACAAAATCGAAACCTACTTGAATACACCTTATAGTCAAAGCGACAAATTCCCCAATTAAAATTTTCATTAAAAAATATTAATTGTTATTAAAAATCACATTTTCAATTTTGTTTTCGACTCAAAATATGTTTAATCAATATTGATCAGGTTTAATTTGTCACGACAAAATCGAAACCTACTTAAGTACACCTTATAGTCAAAGCGACAAATTCCCCAAGTAAAATTTTCATTAAGAAAAATTAATTGTTATTAAAAATCACATTTTCAATTTCGTTTTCGACTTAAAATTTGTTTAATCAATATTTATCAATTCTAATTTGTCACGACAAAATCGAAACCTACTTGAATACACTTAATAGTCAAAGCGACAAATTCCCCAAGTAAAATTTTCATTAAAAAATATTAATGGTTATTATAAATCACATTTTCAATTTCGTTTTCGACTCAAAATATGTTTAATCATTATTGATCAGGTTTAATTTGTCACGACAAAATCGAAATATTATTGAATACACCTTATAGTCAAAGCGACAAATTCCCCAAGTAAAATTTTCATTAAAAAATATTAATTGTTAATAAAAATCACATTTTCAATTTCGTTTTCGACTCAAAATATGTTTAATCAATATTGATCAGGTTTAATTTGTCACGACAAAATCGAAACCTACTTGAATACACCTTATAGTCAAAGCGACAAATTCCCCAATTAAAATTTTCATTAAAAAATATTAATTGTTATTAAAAATCACATTTTCAATTTTGTTTTCGACTCAAAATATGTTTAATCAATATTGATCAGGTTTAATTTGTCACGACAAAATCGAAACCTACTTGAATACACTTAATAGTCAAAGCGACAAATTCCCCAATTAAAATTTTCATTAAAAAATATTAATTGTTATTAAAAATCACATTTTCAATTTCGTGTTCGACTCAAAATATGTTTAATCAATATTGATCAGGTTTAATTTGTCACGACAAAATCGAAACCTACTTAAGTACACCTTATAGTCAAAGCGACAAATTCCCCAAGTAAAATTTTCATTAAGAAAAATTAATTGTTATTAAAAATCACATTTTCAATTTCGTTTTCGACTTAAAATTTGTTTAATCAATATTTATCAATTCTAATTTGTCACGACAAAATCGAAACCTACTTGAATACACTTAATAGTCAAAGCGACAAATTCCCCAAGTAAAATTTTCATTAAAAAATATTAATGGTTATTATAAATCACATTTTCAATTTCGTTTTCGACTCAAAATATGTTTAATCATTATTGATCAGGTTTAATT